TCCCTGTTTAATAAATGGTGTTGAGAAAACTGGCTTGCCATGTGCAGAAAGCAGAAACTGGACCCCTTCCTGACACCTTACACTAAAATTAACCGCAGATGGATTGAAGATTTGAACATAAGACCTAATACCATCAAACCCTAAAAGAAAATCTAGGCAAAACCATTCAGGACATAGGTGTAGGCAAGGACTTCATGACCAAAAGCCAAAATAGACAAATGGGACCAAATCAAACTTCACAGCTTCTGTACAGCAAAAGAAACAGTCATTAGAGTGAATCAATAACCAACAGAATGTGAAAAATTTTGCAATCTACCCATCTGACAAAGGGCTGATATCCAGAATCTACAAAGAACTAAAACAGATTTACAAAAAAAAAAAAACAAATAAACCCATTCAAAAGTGGGCAAAGGATATGAACAGACACTTTACCAAAGAAGACATACGTGAGGCCAGCAAACATGAAAAAACGCTCATCATCACTGGTAATTAGAAAAATGTAAATCAAAACTACATTGAGATACCATCTCATGCCAGTTAGAATGGCAATCATGAAAAAATCTGGAGACAGCAGATGCTGGAGACGATGTGGAGAAACAGGAACACTTTTACACTGTTGGTGGGAGTGTAAATTAGTTCAATCATTGTGGAAGACAGTGTGGTGATTCCTCAAGGACTTAGACATAGAAATTCCATTTGAACCAGCAATCCCATTACTGGGTATATATCCACAGGATTATAAATCATTCTACTGTAAGGACACATGCACACAAATATTCATTGCAGCATAGTTTACAGTAGCAAAGAGCTGGAACCAACCCAAATGCCCATCAATGGGACTGGACAAGGAAAATGTGGCACATATACACCATGGAATATTATTCAGCCATCAAAAACAATGAGTTTGTGTCCTTTGTGGGGCCATGGATGAACCTGGAAACCATCATTGTCAGCAAACTGACACAAGAACAGAAAATCAAACACTGCATGTTCTCACTCATAGGTCTTTGTTGAACAATGAGAATACATGGACACAGGGAGGGGAGCATCACACACTGGGGTTTGTCAGGGGGAAATAGAGGTGGGACAGCAGAGGGTGGGGAGTTGGAGAGAGACAGCATGGGGAGAAAGGCAGCAAATCACACTGTCATGTGTATACCTATGCAACAATCTTGAATGTTTGTCACATGTACCCCAAAACCTAAAATGCAATTAAAAAAAAATAGCTATCTATATAAAAAAAGAAAATATAAAGATGGCATATAAGCATAAGAAAAGTGAACCTAATCCCAGCACTTTGGGAGGCCGAGGCAGGTGGATCACGAGGTCAAGAGATCGAGACCATCCTGGTCAACATGGTGAAACCCCATCTCTACTAAAAATACAAAAAATTAGCTGGGCATGGTGGCGCGTGCCTGTAATCCCAGCTACTCAGGAGACTGAGGCAGGAGAATTGCCTGAACCCAGGAGGCGGAGCTTGCGGTGAGCCGAGATCGCGTCATTGCACTCCAGCCTGGGTAACAAGAGTGAAACTCCATCTTAAAAAAAAAAAAGAAAAGTGAACCTATGTTATCAGCAAAATGAAAATTAAAAAAAATAGCCTGTGGTTTCCATCTGTATCTCCACCCAAATTTCATGTTCTGTGTTGGAGATGGGGCCTGGTGGAAGGTGATGAAACCATAGGGGTGGTTTCTAATGGTTTAGTATCATTTCCCTAGTGCTGTTCTCATGATACAGTTCTCATGAAATGTGGTTATTTTAGTGTGTGGTAGCTTCCTCAACCTCTTCCTCCTGCTCCAGTCATGTAAGACATGGGTGCTTCCCCTTTGTCTTTCACCGTGTTTCAAAGTGTACTGACACCTCCCCAGAAGCTGCTATGCTTCCTCTACAGCCTGTGGAACTGTGAGCCAATTAAACTTTTATCTTTATAAATTACTCAGTCTCAGGTATTTCTTTGTAGCAATGCAAGAATGGACTAATACAGATAATTGGTACCAAAGAGTTGGCATTATTATAAAGATACTTGAAAATGTGGAAGTAAATTAGAAACTGTGTACTGGGCAGAGTTGAAAAGAGTCTGGAGCACTCAGAATAAGACAGGAGGATGAGGAAAATTTGGAACTCCCTAGATGGCTTAACTAGTTTTCATAAAAATGCTGATCATGATATGGACAATAAAGTACAGGCTGATTAGGTCTCTGATGGGGAAATAGGAACTTATTAGAAACTAGAATAAAGGTTACTTTTGTTATGTGTTAGCAAAGAGACTGACTACATTGTGACCCTGCTCTAGGAATCGGTGGAATTTTGATCTTGTAAGTAATGATTTAGGGTATCTGGTAGAAGAATTTTCTGAGCAGCAAAGTGTTCAAGAGTTTACCTATGTCCTTCTGAAAGCCTATGCTCATATGTAAGAACAAAGAATAGTTTGAAACTGGAATTTGTATTTAAAAGGGAACTATAGCATAAATGTTTAGAAAATTAGCAGCCTAGCTATGTGGTGTAAAAGAAAATTCATTTTCTAGGAGAGGACTTCAAGTGGGCTGCAGAAATCTGCATAACTAAAAGGTAAGCAAATTGCAATAGTCAAAATAATGAGAAAAAACCTCAAAGGCATTTCAGAGACCTCTGCTGCAGCCCATCCCATCACAGGCCCAGAAGCCTAGAAGGAAAGAATGGTTTTGTGGGCCAGGTCCAGGGCCCTACCACCCTGCACGACCTGGGGACACTGCTCCCTGCATCTTAGTCCTAGCTGCTGTATCTCCAGCCATGGCTAAAATGGCCCCAGATACAGCTTGTACCTCCACTCCTGAGAGTGCAAGTTATAAACTTTGGCTACTTCTGTGTGGTGTTAAGCCTGTGTGTGTGTAAGAGTTGAGGCTTGGGAGCCTCCACCGAGATTTCAGAGTATGTAAGAAAAAACCTGGATGTCCAGGCAGAAGGGTATTACAGGGGTGAAGCCCTCATGAAGAATCTCTCTACTAGAGAAGTGTGAAGGGAAAATGTGGGGTTGGAGCCTCCACACAGAGTCCCCACTTGAACACTGCCTAGAAGAGCTGTGAGAAGAGGGTTACTGTCTTACAGACCCCCGAATAGTAGATCTACCAACAGCTTGCACCCTGCACCTGAAAAAGCCACAGACACTCAACACTAGCCTATGAAAGCAGCTGCAGAGTTTGTGCCTTGCATAGCCTCAGACAGAGCTGCCCAAAGCCTTGGGAGCCTACCTCTTGCATCAGTGTTCTCTGGATATGAGACATGAAGTCAAAAGAGGTTTCTTTGGAGCTTTAAGATTTAATGACTGCCCTGCTGCATTTCAGAATTTTGGTGTGGTTTGTAGCCACTTTGTTTTGGCCAATTTCTCCCTTTTGCAACAGCAGTATTTATGCAATGCCTATACCTCCATTTTGTCTTGGAAATAACTAACTTGCTCTTATGTGAGTCAAAGTCTCATCAAAGTTCAAAGTCAGATGAAACATTAAACTTTGGACTTTTGATATAATGCTGGAATGAGTTAAGACACTGGGGAACTATTGGGAAGACATGATTATAATTTGAAATGTGAGAAGAATATGAGATTTAAAGGCGCTGGCAGTGGAGACATGATATGGTTTGGATATGTGTCCCCACCCAAATCTCATGCTCAATTGTAATCCTCAATGTTGAATGTGAGTCCTGGGTGATTGGATCATGGGGATGGTTTCTAATGGTTTAATACCATCTCCCTACTACAATCCTAGTAGTGGAGTTCTCATGAGATCTGATTTTTTAAAAGTGTGTGGCACCTCCCATCTCTCTCTTTTCCTCCTGCTTCAGTCATTTAATACATGCCTGCTTCCCCTTTTTCCTTCTGCAATGATTGAAAGTTCCTGAGAGCTCCCCAGAAGCCATTATGCTTCCTGTACAGCCTGCAGAACCATGAGCCAATTCAACCTATTTTCTTTAAAAATTACCCAGTTTTAGCTATTTGTTTATAGCAACATGAGAATGAACTAATACAAGATACCAATACATACCTATTAGAATGGCCAAAATCCAGAAGACTACCAATATCTAATGGATGTGAAACAAAAGGAACTCTTACTAATTTCTGTTGGGAATGAAAAATTGTACAGTCACAGAAGATAGTTTGGCAGTTTCTTACAAGACTAAACATACTGTTACCAAATAATCCAGTAGTCATGCTTCTTAATATTTACTCAAATGATTTAAAACTTAATGCAAAAACCTGCACACAAATGTCAATAGCAGTTTTATTAATAATTGGCAAGACTTGGAAGCAACTGATCCCCTTTAGTAGGTAAATGAATAAATGAACTGTGGTGCATCCAGACAATGGAATATTACTCAGTGCTTAAAATAATGAGTTATTAAGCCTCAGAAATAAATGGAGAAAATTTAAATGCTTATTACTAAGTGAAAGAAGCCATGCTGAAAGGCTACATATGTTATGATTTCAACCACACAAAATTTTGTAAAAGATGAAACTATGGAGAGAGTAACTATTACGATTGGGAAGAGGAGGATGAATAGGCAAAGAACACAGGAGTTTTCGGGCAGTGAAACTAGTCTATATGATACTCTAATGGTGGATACATGTCATTATTCACTTATCTAAACTCATAGAATGTGCAACACCAAGAGGGAACTCTAATGTAAACTATGGACTTATGGTTAAAATGATGTTTCAAAGTTGGTTCATCAAGTCTAACAAATGTATTAATCTGATGGGAGATGTCAATAATGGAAGAGACTACACATATGTGGGGAAAGGGATTATATGAGAAATCTCTGGACCATTCTCTCAATATTGATGTGAACCTGAAACTGCTTAAAAAATAAGGTGTGTATAAAAATTGGTATAACAATTATTACTGTGCATTAACTTAATTGATTTTTGGTTGGTTTGACTTACCTTGTGACTATGGCTCCATATAAAACAGCTAAAGTGATGTATTCTTCTATATTATTTATTTTCTACATTTTATTTGTATTTTTTATGTCATATGAGCAATGTACTGACATCATAACAAGGTTTGGGGGGGCAAATCTCACACATGAATATGAAAACCCAATCATTACACTATGAATCAAAAAATATATATTTTCTTAATTGATTTACTCTGTCAATATCATTCCTCTGAACCTGTCCTTTTATAAATTTCTCTAAGATTCCTTAATGTATGGTTTCAAATGAAATTCATAATACCTGCTCAATTTTTATAATGTACAATTATTTTTCACATTATTAAAGTACTAAATAATTACAAAATTTTAAATTAAATTTTAGCAATGGCAGTATATATCTTCTCATGTCAAAACATACTCTCAGGAAATTACCCTATAGTCTACACAAAATCAGTATTTTAGCTAGTAAAGATAAAGCACAAGACATATGTGCAGAGACCACACAAAATATTTTCTAAGTACCTCGGAATAAAACTTAAAATTCTATTCACTAACATCTTAATTTTGAAGCAACACTCTGCTTCCATATTAAAAAGAATAGACATTTTATCATACTTATTCATTTAAAAAATCACCTTCAACAACACGCTACAGGTAATTTTCAACACTAGGACTTTGGAGAAAGAGTTTCTGGTAGATGGTAGTGTGTGGCTTTCATTGACATGAAGCCAAAATGAATTGTACTAAAGTGTAACATTTTCTGCCACGGATCAGCTGGCACTTTTAGGGACAGGTGCACTGTCTGTCAACAGCATATCACAATCAATCCTCAATTGTTGTTTTCAGAAAAACAAATGAGGATAGTGATGTTTTTTACACCAGAAAGATGACTGAAATAAGAAAATTAGATCAAATTTTTATGCTTTCTTTGAATTTTTATTTTAGATTCAGGTTGTATATGTGAAGGTTTGTTACATGGGCATATTGTGTGATTCTGAAGTTTGCGCTATGAATGATCCCGTAACAAAAGTGCCAATCAGAGTTCCTAAAGGTTAACTTTTAACCTTTACCCCCCATACTCCTCCTCCAGTAGTCCCCAAGGTCTACTGCTGTGTTTATGTTTATGACTACTCAACATTTAGCTCCCACTTATAAGTGAGCACATGTGGTATTTGGTTTCCTGTTCATGAGTTAATTGACATAACAATGACCTGCTGCACCTGTGTTGACACAAATGGCATGATTTTGTTTATTTTTAAGAGATATAGTATTCCGTGGTGTACATGTACAAGATTTGCTTTACACAAGCCAACATTGATGAGCACCTAGGTTGATTCCATGTCTTTGCTGTTGTGAATAATGCTGCAATGGACATGCAGCAATATGTATGTGTGTGTGTGTGTGTGTGTGTGTGTGTGTACACACACACAGTAATGGGATTGCTGGGTGCAATGATAATTCTCTAGCTTCTTTCCACAGTCACTGAACCAACTTACAATTCCAACAACAGTGTATAAACATTCCCTCTTCCTGGCAGCCTCACCAACATTTGTTGTTTTTCTACTTTTTAGTAATAGCCATTCTGATCGGTGCGAAAGATTATCTCATTGTGGTTTGGACTTGGATTTCACTGATGATTAGTGACATTAAGCATTTTTTCCATATGTTTCTTGGCCACCTGTATGTCATCTTTCAAAAAGTGTATATTCATGTCATTTTCCCATTTAATCATATCATGACTAAAACACAAAAAGCAATGGCAACAAAAGCCAAAATAGACACATAGGATCTAATTAAATGAAAGAGCTTCTGCACATAAAAAGAAACTATCGCCGGGCGCGGTGGCTCAAATCTGTAATCCCAGCACTTTGGGAGGCCGAGGCGGGTGGATCACGAGGTCAAGAGATCAAGACCATCCTGGTCAACATGGTGAAACCCCATCTCTACTAAAAATACAAAAATTAGCTGGGCGCGGTGGCGCGCACCTGTAATCCCAGCTACTCAGGAGGCTGAGGCAGGAGAATTGCCTGAACCCAGGAGGCGGAGGTTGCGGTGAGCCGAGATCGCGCCATTGCACTCCAGCCTCGGTAACAAGAGCGAAACTCGGTCTCAAAAAAAAAAAAAAAAAAAAAAAGAAACTATCATCAGAGTGAACAGGCAACCTACAGAATGGGAGAAAAATTTTGCAATCTATTCATCTGACAGAGGGCTAACATCCAGAATCCACAAAGAACTTAAACAAACTTACAGGAAAAAAACAACTCCATCAAATAGTGGGCAAAGGATATGAACAGACACTTCTCAAAAGGAGACGTTTATGCAGCCAACACACATAAGAAAAAAAGCTCATCATCACTGGTCATTAGAGAAATGCAAATCAAAACCACAATGAGATACCATCTCAGGACGGTTAGAATGGTGATCATCAAAATGTCAGGAGACAACAGATGCTGGAGAGGATGTGAAGAAATAGGAAGGCTTTTACACTGTTGGTGACAGTGTTCAGCTATTGTGGAAGACAGTGTGGTGATTCCTCAAGGATCTAGAACTAGAAATACTATTTGACCCAGCGATCCCATTACTAGGCATATACTCAAAGGATTATAAATCATTCTATTATAAAGACACATGCACATGTATGTTAATTGCAGCACTGTTCACAATAACAAGACTTGGAACCAACCCAAATGCCCATTAATAATGGACTGAATAAATAAAATATGGCACATATACCCCATAGGATACTATGCAGCCATAAGAAAAGGATGAGTGCATGTCCTTTGCAGGAATATGGAGCTTTGCAAGGACTTGAAGCTGGAAACCATTATTCTCAGCAAACTAACACAAGAACAGAGGATCAAACACTGCACATTCTCACTCACAAGTGGGAGTTGGACAATGAGAACACATTGACACATGGAGGGGAATATCACACACCAGGGCCTGTTGGGGGGTTGGGGGCTAGGGGAGTCAAGGCCAGTCTTCTGCCCATACGCTACATCATGAAGCAGAGAGCTGTTAAGAATATACCTCTTGGCCAAGTTTATTGGCTCATGACTGTAATCTCAGCAATTTGGGAAGCTAATGCGAGAGGATTGCTTGAGACCAGCAGTTCCTAACCAGCCTGGGCAACATAGTGAGATCTCATCACTACAAACAAAAATTAGCTGAGTGTGGTGGTATGCTCTTCTAGCCCCAGCTCTTTGAGAAGTTGAGGTTAGAGGATCATTAGAGTCCGGAAGTTCAAGGCTGCAGTGAGTTATGATCTTGCCATTGCATTCCATCCCCATCCTGGTTGACAGAGCAAGAATCTATCTAAGAAAGAAAAAAAATAAATATACCTCTTTACTTGTGATAGCTGACTTTCTTGTTGCTTAATATAACAATGTTCTGTATCTTCCCTTATTCAGCTTACAATTAGAACTGATGTGTAAACTAAAGCATTGAATTAAGACAATCTTTAGTGTGGTATCAATATTTATTATCCAAACCCTTCCTTGGCCCAGGTTAAGACTGGGCCCAACCAGTATTTGTGGTTTCCTATCTGAAATGTCCATAGACATTTTTCTTTATGGTTTCCTATTGGTAAACATGTTAGGAGTAACAAAGAGTGACTTTACAGTAGTGGCAGTAATTAATCTGCCATTACCTAGTATGGACCGATTTTTTGTATCCCCCTAATGCTCATATGATAAAGCCTTTACCCCCAGTGTGATTACATTTAGAGATAGGGCCTTTGTGGACGTAACAAAGGAGATTATATGAGTGGGATCCTAATTAGAAGGGTCAGTTGACCTTATAAGAAGAGACATCAGAAACCTATCTCTCTGGGCATAAGTAAAAGAAGGGTTGCTTAAGGATAAAACAGCCATATGCAAGCCAGGAAGGCGGCCCTCATCAAAAAGCAGACACTTCCTGAACCTTGACTTTATCTTAACAGCTTTCAGTACAAAGAGATTTTTTAAGCCACCAACTACAGTATTTTGTTATGGCTGCTTGAGGTACCATGGTCCTTTATACATTTCTAGCTGAGTAAAATTTAAATACATTTTACTTTTCTTCTCTAGATCTAGCATCAGAGTAGGTTGTATGCTTTTTTGTTTTTTTCTCCTCTCTTTTTCTTTCATTTATTACTAAAAATATCTTTTAAGAGAGCTTTTTGTGAAAACAAACATTTCCTTTTTCACGTTCTTGCCTTCTTTTTATATACTTTTAAAATTTAAAACATCATTTTTGTTAAGTAGGTCAAAGAACACAAAAATACATAAAGTGTGAAAGTTCTCCTTCACTCTATGTAATTCTCTTTACCTTCCACAGATATAACAATAAAATGCCATTAATAAGGTATACATTCTTTGAGACCTGTATGGATTTGCTTATATGCATAAATCATACCTAAAATACTCAAAATGTTTACGTTTTTATAAAAATATAATTATATTTGAAACTTTCTTTTTTATTTAGCACGTTTTTTTCCTGTGAATGTATCTAGGTTTGTTACTCTAAAGGCTTTATTTTGTTCTTATTTTGAGTATGTTATTTTTATATATCCAGTCTTCTTTTGAGAGATATCACATTATCCCTATTATGACATTTGTAAATGGAACACATGTGTAACTGTCTCTGAAAAGAGGTACGTTGAAGTAGAATTATAGTCCAAATATTTAATGCACTATTTAATTTTGATGAATGCTGAAAAATGCTACCCCATTTTAGGTCATTCTTAAGGTAATGCTCAGTTGAACTTCAAATCTTAGTTTATTTATAACTTAAAATATAATGAAAACAAACTAGTGCTCTCCAAAGGATTCTAACAGATACAGAAAAAATTTGTTGGCTATTTGTTTTTATTTTGCAAGTGAACAAGGGACTTTTACTGACTTTCCTGAAGTCCCTTGATAATATCAGAAATTCCATAAATATAGGGGAAAAAGGAAAAAAGCAGTGATAATAAAAACAAAATCAAACTCATGGTGAATTTTGTGACCAAACTACATAACTTAAAATGCATAAAGCAGGCATTTCTAGTATTCTAGAAGGAATAGAAAATCCCAGAACATAGTAGGGTGCTTTCAGAAAATGATAGATTAATACTAAATAAAAAATAAAATAAAACCGAAAATATTACAGTAACTTTTCTATGAGACACCAATTTATTTATTTATTTATTATTTTTTTATTTTTAACTTCTAA